AACTCCATTTACAATTATTTTGGTAATTTGGTAAATTATTTTGGTAATTTGACTCCCTGGTCAGTTGTTAAGTGGTTTGCTAAGCAATAAGTAGATTTATAGAATGCTAATGCTCAAGTAAAAGCAGTATTATATCATTTTGCCATCCAAATTATCACACACAAGTGGCAAAGAGAATTTAGGACCAGAGATTACTTATATACCTTTGTTTATTACGTCTTCCCAAATCCCCCAAATTATGGAAGGGATGCTCGTCCTAAGCATTACTCATGGCAGGACAGTTCTAAACCAGTCAAGCCTTCTCCATGCTTTCTCCCCATCACATTCCTCTTTCCAAGGAATCCTTGGAGCCCAGATTTGAGAGCTTCATAAGAGTCATTTCCTATCTCCATAGATGATGGTGATGCTGGGGGTTAAGAAGTTAGCTCCAGATTTAATTCAGCAACACGTGTTCTGTTCTTTTAGCACAATCATTGCACTGTGTGTACAGGAGAACAGTCACATCTGAGGGAATTTTGCATCTTTCTCACATTAAAATGTAATCCTTCAGTACATGAGATTTTTTTAAACACTTGCTAAAATCAAAGTTCTTTAAAGCATTTGCATGGTTCAAGATAATTTTAAGAGTACCTTGATTGCAGTAACTGCAGCTTGATTATTTAAGGTTTTACACCTATATTTGACTAGTATGTGATTTACCAAAATGTAAAATGCTCCTGTTTAATTTGCATGTTATTTAAACAGAAATATCAGAGTTGAGTCTCTTCAAGACTATATAACCAAATAGCAGCTTGGACTTGCTAAAAATACCCGCTGAGTAGGTTCCTAAGAGACTGTTTGAATCCAGGTGTACAGAACGTGCTAAACGGAGCTCTGCTGAGTTTACGTGCTGCAATCCAGTTGGGTAGGGAACGTTTTCCTGATGGGACAGTGTTTTTCCTCTCTCTCCAGGGATGCGGCAGGGGAATGACTTTGGCACGCAGTATCGTTCAGCCATCTACACGTTCTCGCAGGAGCAGATGGAAGCTGCCTTGAGATCCAAAGAAGATTATCAAAAGGTAACGTGGGGCAGAGCGTGGAGTTGCTTCATGTATGATGAGCACACACTCATCTCCTGGTCTGCACCTCTCCTCTGTGTTTCTGTTGGTGCAGAGTGTTCCAGCATTGAACTTTGTCCGTGTTTATTTTAGATTCCAAGTTTCCTCATGTGACTCATTTTGATGACTTTGCGCAAAGAAAATATTTCATTCTTGTGTAAAAATAGTTTTAATCTCCTCTAGAATTACACAGATGTGCCACAGCAAAGGCCTATGACCTTAAGGCTGTGCATGGTCACCTGGATGCCATACACTGTAGGGCAAAAATTTTGTATCTAAGATTTCTTGAACTTGGAGGTCAAGTCCTGCTCACTTGTAGAACTTGGCAGCTCAGGATCACCCATCAGAGATTGTAAGATGCCTCTATGAAGCCATTCCTTAGCTTGATTTGACCAAGTGTGTCAACCAGTGACTTAGTAGCACCCTCTGTTATCACCCTAGATTTTGTGTGACGGAAGATAGACCATTGCCCTTTCTCTACACAACACCATTTAAATTCATTGCAGGTGGGTTCTGTTTCTTCCCTGCCACGTGAGCTATTTAGGGTTGGATGAAAGGTGAGAGATTACTGACTCCTTTTCCTTCTGCTAAGAGGGTGATAAAGCACAGCAAAGGATTGGGAAGCTGTAGAGTAAGCCTTGTTTGTTTTGATGAAAAAATATGTATGTGAAATACAACTAGCCACACACATTGTCCCCTCTTGAGAAGTGACAGGTTGCAAAAGTGCACAGTGATAAACCCTTCATAATGTACAAGCAGTGAAGTTAGACTGTTTTCCAGTTACTGGAATTGCTGGTGTCATCACAGTTGGAGAGTTGGAGGAGCTAGCAGATTATTTTACTAAATATCAGAAAGGTTTGTTTGAAGGTATTATTTTCTATGGGGGTTTATTTTGGCAGGTTGACCTAACTGATATCCTTGTATGAGACCTAGATTCGTGAATCCAGCTATGGTAACTAATGATAAAAAGCTTCCTTGTAGGTTCATTCAGCATTTGTCTCCTTACTGCCATAGTGAACAATATTCAACATTTCCTGCTATAGCATCTGTCTAACGCAGGGACTTCGTAATTGCAGTCTGATCTGCAATGCAAGATCTAGATTCTGCAGTAAAGACACATAAATTCTTACAGCATACACAAAATAATCCCCTAGGACATCAGTGTGATATCTAGAGGAAGTACTGAGAGGAGTTAAGTGAATATTACCTTCCATGCTTTCATGTGACTTCACTAAAGTGCTGTTATGTTGAAAAGAAAACATGTTTTTGGTGAATATGTGATGTTAACAGTAAAGATCTTTGAAAACTAAGAGGGTATCAACCAGCCATGCATATGGAGGTACAAAAAGAAGGTGTGCAGTTGTGGGCTGATCTGTGCGTGCCCTTGCAGAGCTGCTTTGTACATTCAGTTGTTATTATTTTGCATGCAAAGAGATGCTCTGAATGGTGAGTAACTAATTTGCAAGTTGCTACTAGCAGTGTGATAACTGTGCCTGTAAATTAAGTATTCAGTGGCATATATATTTTCTCATGAGTAGCTAAACACATGGGGATAAGTCAGTCTCGCAGGTGTTTATCTTTCTGTGAACACAGTGGTTTCTGAAGGCGCCGTGTTCATGTTTATCATGCAGAACTTCTGTCTTCTGATTGTTTACCTTAGATCCGCTGCTTTTCCAGATTGTTTTCTGTTTCCTTTTATTAACGTCTGCTGACCAATATCACTCTATAAATCTTACAGCTTTCAGTTTGCTTTCCCAACTCCATTATTCTCTGCAGTTATTTGTCATTAAATTAATACTGACTTGAAAGCAAAATTACAATGCAGGAGACTGCAATATGATGTTACAGAAATTTCCATCGTCTAATAGATTTTCTTAATGGCACAATTTAAAATTTACCTACTTTGAAGTCTATCACAATTTGAAAAGTGTGTATAATTAGTGCATTTGTATAATTAGTTACAACTCTGTAAGTGATCCAGTGTAGAGCTTGTTTTTGTGCTAGAGTAGGTGGAAAGAAGGGACTAAGTTGCCAGCTAAGAATATACAGCACATATGTTCTGAAATTCCTTAAGGAAATACTGCTCCTACACATTATTTACACCAGTATCTACCATATTATCTACAGCCGTATTGCAGTAGCAGTAAAATGATTTTATTGGAAGCATATTGACCAAGCCTTATATTCAGGAATCCTTTATATTAAATGCTTTACATTACATTAAGGAAAAGGTAATGCAGCCAATTTCATTATTATTGCAGTAAAGTGAAATAAATATCAAGTTCTTCTTGTGGTGGCACATGCGTTTTACAGATTTCTGACAGAGCAAGTGAATAAAATCACTTGCACCGTGCTCTTAGCAAGCCTACGAGTGAGATTTATAGTGTGCCCTGGGCCCAGGGATCCTGCAGGGTTTCATCTATTTTAAGTTGTGAAAGTTGTTGCTGATTCACGCAGCTGTTTCAACAGCTGAGAAATGGCAATACAGCAATGAATATGCATTGAGCCCTGCATCTTTAGCTGCTCACATGTTTGAATGCATGGAGTCAGAGCCAGCTAATGGTAATATATATTATAATATAACGCTGCCGCTGGTAAATTGTGACACCGTGTAAGTGTAATCGTAAAAACATGAAATGAGGGCTAGGTCTTTGAGGGCTAGGAATGTGAATAAGCTGCTCCATCAATTTTGCCTGGAGCTGAAGTTTTTTAATACAGTTGAACCTGAGGTTACTCAATTTTCGAGATAGTTCCTAGGTTAGGTTTGGTCGGGAAGAAATTTGTATTTATTTTTCTTGAATCAGGCATACCTTTGTTTCGTCAAATTGCTAACACTGTATTTTTCAGGCTGCGAGGATATACTGAGTCCTATGTCTCACTTACTTTAGAGAGCCCTATTTAGTAGCCCCCAAAAACTACCAGTAGCTCCATGACCTCTTTTAGGACAATACCAAAAGTTAACATTGTGCACGACATGGGTCTATTACTTTGTTTAAAAGGCAGATATTATGCAGGAGAAGATCCTTACATGAAGCAACCAAAGGGCTTTGAAATGCGAAGAAATTAATAGAATTTTTCTAGAAATAATGTAATACATAATTTTTATTATTTAGACTGTAAGGGTATAATCTCGAAGGTTTCTCTGCAGGAATGAATTGTGATGCTGATAGAAATCCCAAATGAAAAGTAAACCAGCTGGTCAACAGATTGAGAAAACAAATAAACTGAAACAATAGTTGTACCAAAGGCAAAAATAAAGAAGAAGCAATGCTAATTATTTGCTTTGGGGCCTGTAAACATGTTTAAGAAGCTTGAAAAGTACTGTAACTTGAGGTGAAGATCTTAAATTACAAAAACAAAAATTTTGCATAAATATAAAAAATCCAGGGAAATGAACCTAGACCGTTGGACAATCTATTAGTCTATAGAACAGGCACTTTGCAGAAATGTTAGGGCTCATAAAACCACAGAGGTGGAGACTTTCTGGAGATTTTGAAGGGAAGTAGGCATGATGCTTGGGAGAAAGAGTAGATTATGCTGTAGTCTTTTCCTTCAACCTTAGCAGCTGTATTCCTGTGAAGGTCTGGAAAAGATACTCAGTGAAAGGACTGAAACTGTCTCTGACTTGGTCAAAATAGTCATTTTTTCATTGTGTTTCATCAAGGAGAATTTGTGAAGAACACAAATTTGATCTAACACCTCAAATTTCATTTTGAATCAAGCAGCTAAGGAATTAATATGCTGGACTAAACTCCTTACTGGTGTAACTCCACAAGAACTGATCTAGTTGTGCCATGGATTAGTTTTGCCTTTTTGCTTTAGGGCCTGTTTACTCATATGAAGTAGAGAAGAGAATCTTTCAACCTGTAACTTCAAATGTCCTGTTTACTCGGTGGTGGAATGGGCCTAGTTCAGTGGCTCTTGTTATAACCTTATAGCTTCTCAACAGCACTGGGTATCTCAGCTGATCTCCATCTACCACTTCAGAAGACGTAAATATCCTTGTATTTGCCAGGCCTGTGTAGGTATCTGAGATACCTTCAGGCACCTCAAATAGCTCCACATGCCTATGTTTAGACAACTGATTTTAGACACTTGAGGTCTCTCATGATGGTAATGGAAGCTCAGACATATAATTCACATCCAAAGCTCACCAGGAATGAAGCAGTTTGGGGTGGATGGATGTATTCTTGAGGAGTAAAGGCAATAATGAGTTAGTAGTAGTCAACATAAGAGGCAAAGGTCTTTACAGAGAGCAAGACAGCCTGACAAATACTTTGTTTCTTACAATAAACCACCAAAGACCTCAGCTGTGAAAGCAAGTGGTTCATATTTGACAAGATAGAAAAGAAATTTAAGCACTGGAGTAGTGTGGCCAATGCAACGAGCTTTGGAGCAGCCATCTGGGAGGCATTTGTCAAGGCTGGTGGAAAGGCCATTAACAGGTATGCAGAATGGTAAGCTTCTGAGCATAGGCTTTAGCTGCATGAAAGAACACTTTGAGGAAAGAATCTATAAAATTCATGTAATATGCTTAATATGCTCCATGAGTTTAGAATGTGCTTTGGCTGGGAGACAGGTTTTCCTGTGTGTTTTTTCTGGCTGGGAGAAATTTAAACAAGTGTTTTAAAAAGTAGAAGGTTGTTGTTAATAAAGCAATGCTAGATAAAAAATAACACCTGCTTATTCCTCTCCAGATTATGGCTGTTTCAGGGCTTTATGTATCAAATTATCATTGCTTCACTCTGATGTGAACAATAGTGGATACTTGATTCCTGATTGATGATGGTAGTTCTTATGAAAATAAGCAAACCTGATCTGATAAGCTAAGCCATTATTTATTTTGTAATCACTCATGTGTGCTACACAGCTACCCTTTTTATGTTCATTGCTATCTGGGAATGCTATATTCAGCTATGGATGAGGAGTTTTTGTGTGAACACTTGCTAACTCTTTGCACA